TATATATATATATAGTGTCTGCTGTATGTTGTTGTGTTTGTCTTCTTTTTTCTTCTGGTGTGTCTTTTCTTTGTTGGGGGGACGGGGGTTGCAGTGTTCTTCCTTCCTACGCTGCGTCTGAAGTATTTGGGAAGCCGCCGCGGCTCCTGCTACCGTCGCTGCGATGTCAGTACCAACGGACGAGCTGCTGAGGACCTTTGACCTGTACGACCGCGAGTCTGTCGGCAGCATTCCCGTCGAGAGCGTCGTACATGTGCTGCGCAGCTGTGGCATGTTCTGCAGCGATAAGGATGTTGCGGAACTGCTGCACGAGCTGTTTCCCACGCATGATTCAGTAACGCGTAGTGAGTTCATGGCGATTGTAAAAAAGAAGAACACCCTCAAGCCGGCGGACTTCCGCACGGTGGAAGACGTGGTGATGGCGTTCAATGCCTTCGACACGCATGACGCCGGCGCGCTGGCCTCCGACGAGGTCCTCTCGATCCTCACACGCATGGACGAGAAGATCGGCATAGATGCGTACCACGACGTGATGGCGGACTTCAAGTTGAATGAGGCAGACATGGCGGAGATCAAACCCCTCGCAGCTCATATTATGCGGCCGGTGAAGGAGCACAAACTCACCCCGACGCAAACCCTTCAGGAGCTGGAGAGGTGAGTACGTGCTTGACAAGGAGTGTGTGTGTGTGTGTAGCGTTGTATTGTTTCGTCTCTTCTTTTTTGCTGTTGTTGTTGTTGTTGTTGTTGCTCAGGCATGCATTGAGTCCAACGGTATTGTGCTGAGTGTGCCCGCGACGTCGTCTGTGGCATCATCCGTCTTCCAATCAGGCTCTACCACGCCATGGTTTTTTTTTTGTCTGTTTCTGCCTCCTTCCGCTTTTCTTGTTCCGTTGTTTCGGGGTGGGAGGATCGGTGTCTTGCTTCTTCGCCCTTCCCACTGAGCAACGAGAGTAGCGGCAGCAGAAGCCATACACGGAAGACGCGGACCAAAGCTGCATGGCCCTGCCTGTGCGTGGCGCGGGGCGTGAGTCGCCGGTCGGCAGTGAGGGCTGGATGCGCTCCCTCACCGCCGGCTTCGCTATCCACGCCCCGAACCCCAACGACCCGTCTTCGGTGGTGTCGGCGATGCGGTTCCTCCTGCAGATGGCGGTCGACCTCGAGCGGCATGGGAATTTGCTGGAGAGCATTAAGTGCGCGGAGTCCGCGTTGCTGCTGCGGCGCGCCACAGAAGCGGCCGTGACGCCGCTGCTGGAGCCGCTCTTTGCGGAGGAAATGCTCCCGCGCAGCGTTGTGGAGGAAGCAGAGGACCTCGTGCTGCGGTGCAACACCCACGCTGTGTCCGCCTTCAACGAGAAACGTTTTGATGCCGCGGAGTTCTTCCTTGGCAAGGCGCTCTTCCTGACTGACTTGCGTGATGCGGAGGAGGTGAATTACTTTTCGGGGTCCGAGTCGCGGCGGTTGCGGTTGCGTGCCGCGACACTGAACAACCTCGGCTGCATGGAGAAACGTCGTGGGAAACTGGAGCAATCGCTTGCGTACCTGCGGCAGGCTGTAGAGATCGAGGTGTCGCTCGATACCACATCCCGTGGGTCACCGTCGACGTACCTCAACCTCTGCACAGTGCTGAACGAGCTGCAGCGACACCACGACGCCGTTGCGGCGGCGGAGAGCGCTATCGCTACGCTCGAGGAGCAGATGCTGCAGCAGCAGAGGGAGCAGTTGCCAGGGTGTGCAATGATGCTCGTGGTGGGTTTGTACAACCTGGGAGTCTCGCTTGAGCGCCGCGGCCGCGACGGTGACAACGAAAAGGCCCACGCGGCGTATCGGCGTTCCCTGGAGGCGAGCCGAAAGTTCTTTGTGGATCCCAAGTGTCCAACCGTAGAGCTCGCGATGTCGGCGATCCGTCGCATGCACGCGGCTCCCACCTTCCGTGCGGATAGGATAGAGGCAATAGGACCGCGCAAGGCGCTCGAGGGCCCCGCAGACCCGCGGCCGCCACAGAGATCAGCATTCCCGCCAGCAGCAGCAGCACCGAGTCTGGATTCGCGGTCCATATCACTTTCCAGCGCCCACGCGGCCCCCACCAGCCTTCCGGCACCGCTTCCACAGGAACAACAACAGCAGCAGCTGCAGCAGTCTCGTGTCAGGCGACTAAGTCCACTCACCGCGGCGGAAAGTCTAAGTGAAAACTGGGCACAGCGCACCTCTTCGCACCCCCCTCGCCCATCCACTGACAGCCGGATTGTTTCCACATCGTTTGGGTCAATCGCGCAGACAATGCCAATAGTGTCACATTCACGACTATCGCTGTTGGCATCGCACTCACCACTCCATTCAGCTGGCGATCTGCCGCACGGGCACACGATGCCAGGCACTGTGCAGCCACCCGTGCGAAGGACGGGATCAGTCTCCGTGACGCCTTGCGTGGAAACCCCTGATGGGGGCGCAGCCAATCCACTGTCAGTGTCTCCGGCTGTGCCACTTCAAGAGCAGGAACAACGACAAGCGTCATTGCCTCCGTCGCAGCAGCAGCAACAGCAACAGCAGCAGCCACTGCCGCCGCCACCGCTACAACAACAGCAACAAGAGCGGCAGCAGCAACTTCAACAACAAGCTTCAACGGCACAACAACAACAACTGTTGTTACGGCAGCCACCACCACCACCACCACCGCCGCTCTATACGGAAGCGAAGCAGCCCGTTGCACGCCCAGCCACGCTCTCTCCACTACGCAAGCCATCAGATGCAATTTCGACGCTGATGAAGCCATCGCTTGTTGAAGCACCCAAACTGAGCCTCACCACCCCACTTGGGTTATTGACCCAAAGGAACCAGTCAAAGTCATCAACCTCTCCGACATCAGCTGTCGCAAACCCATTTGGACGTCGCGTCTTCGGGAGCGTATCCACCTCTGAGCCGTCAGGTCCCGTATCATCATCGATGCTCCGGCAGCGGTTGACGGGATCGGAGTCCATGGCGATGGAGAAGCACCTTGCGCGGACGCAGATGCGACAAGCAAAGGCAGAGGAAGCAAAGAAAAAGGGTCCCATGGCTGGACGAAGGGGCAGTGCGCTCGCCAAGGCGAAGGAGCGAGAACAAAAACGACTTGCCAAGGAAGAGGCGGCTCGGGACGCAAGCATGGCAGACGCGTTGTATGAAAATCTTGTCGTTGGAATGCGTGCGGATGAGTTGCATCGCTGTCATCGTGCCGCCATGCTGCTTCAGCGTATGTGGCGTGGATGCATTGCCCGAACCTTGCTGCGCCGCATGGTCTCCGCAGCAAGAAAGATCCAGCGGGTGTTCCGCGTTTTCCTCGTCAAGTTGCTCGCTGCACGACGCGCGGAGGAGGAGCGGCTTGCCCGAGTCAAAGCTGCACGCGAAAAGGAAGAGACGGAGGCTGCTATTGTGCTGCAGGCGCGTGTGCGGCAGTTCCTTCACCGTTTGGAGATTCGCCGTGCCTACCTTGGCCGCAAGATGCGTCAGTACTACGCCGCGCGTCGGATTCAGCGCGGCTTCCGCGCATTTTTGAGGTGGCGCGAGGAGCACCTCGCCGCCCTCATGGAGGCACAGCGCTTGGAGGACGAGCGTCAGCTGCAGCTGAAGATCAACGCGGCCCGCCGCATACAGTGGGCCTATAGCCGCTACTTGAAGCGAAAGGAGGAGTTGAAGGCGTCAAAGGAGCGGGAGCGAAGAGAGCGCGCGGCGGCGACAATACAGGCGCAGGTGCGAGGTGTCCTGGCGCGAGCATGGTTCCGGTACTACAAGTCTTACCGCCGCGAGCAGGAGCTAAAGTCTGCGGCGAACCAGAAACGTATTATTATGCTGCAGGCCGCCGCTCGCGTCCCCCTTGCTGTGCGACTTCGTCGTACGAAGGAAGTGGATCTTGTGCGCCGCCTCCGTCAGCATCAGTTGAACCGAGCGGTGACACGGATACAATGCCAGTGGCGCAGCCGTGTTGCACGCATCAAGTTGGCACGTCTGCGCGCGGAGAGTGACATACGGAATCGACGCGCCACGCGTATCCAGCGCTGGTACACAACATGCGTCTTGCGTCGCAGGTTCCTTCAGATTCTTGAGGCGAAGCGTCGCGAACATGCGGCTGAAAAGATCCAACGGTGGTACCGCGACCGCAAGGTGCAAACTAAAGAAAAAGAAATGGCTCGATATTATGCTGATATTGCGCGTCGACAGCGTCTCGCACATATTCAAGCGCAGTCGCTGCTCCTGCTACAGGCATGGGGGCGAGGATATATCAGCACTCTGCTAGTCCGGAGTGTGCGGAATTCCTTTCTGCGCCTCACGCTTTTTGCAGAGGCGTTCCAGCGCATAGGACGCGGCTACGCGGGCCGCTTGTCTCTGTGGCGAATGAAGTGCCGTGAAATTCGTGAGGCACGAATGCGAGTAGAACAAATGCGTCAGGCCTCAGCGGCATGTGTCATTCAGCGTGCGTGGCGATGCGCTATGGCGAAGGACACTGTTGAACATATGCGACGTTGTGTAGCAGCCAGCGTGATGATTTCGAAACACTATCGCAGTTATGTCTGTCGCAAGGAACTACGTCGGCTGCGTGAACAGAAACAGCTAGAGCGGGAAACGCAGGCGGTTTTGATTATACAGCGGATTGTGCGTCAATTCCTCCAGCGACTAGAACATGTTCGCCTAGACAAGTATTACCGTGAGCGCCATCAGAAGAAACTAGTCCTTATGCGGCGTGAGGAGGCTGTCACAACACTGCAGGCGGCATGGCGTGGACGCGCGACGCGTCAGGCACTCCAACGGGAGCGCGAAGCCCTTGAGGCATTGGCGGTGTATGTGGTGAAGATTCAGCGAGCATGGCGTGCACGCAAGTTCCGCAGGGGCATCAACGTTGAAGTTGCACAGCGCTCCACTCTTCGTATGGATCGCTCACGTGCTGCCCTTACACTCCAATGCTTCTGGCGGAAAATGAGGGCAGCTGAAGAGGTGGCGCGCCTGCGCGAGGCAAATAGGATTCGCCGTGAGAAGGCGGTAGTCATTCAATGCTGGTGGCGTCGTATCCTCGCTAGGTGGCTCGTAGAGTCTCTGAAGGTGCAACGGGAGGAGGTGCTCAAGCTTCGTCTCTACTACATGGGCAAGTGGGATGTCATGGTAACGCTCATCAATGCAACACTACGGGTGCGTTCGGCGCAACAGCTGCTACTCGTTCGCAAACGGAAGCAGCTTCTCACCCAACTAACAGATTGTGAACGTGAACGCTTCTTGTGCCGCCATGGGGCTGCGACAAAGATACAGGCGGTTTACCGCGGTCACTATGAGCGGGTGTATGCGCGCGGTATACGACGACAAAAAGAGGAAGAGGAACGCCGCAGACAAGAACGTGAAGCCCTTGAGAAGCGCTCTGCCATCATCATTCAATGCGCCTATAGACAATGGCGGGCCATTCGTGAAGCTAACAGACGACGCGCCGCGAAGAGGGCAAAGGCGTTGGAGGAAGAAATTGAGCACTATACCACGGTTGATCCTCATGACTTAGTTCGTCAGCTATTCTGGGTGCATGAGACTGTTCTGAAGCGTGACTTGACGAAGGAACGACTTCAGCGCTCGAATGAGCGCCTCAGGGCGGCCGTGATTGTACAGAAAGCCGTTCGACAATGGCTTGCAAAGCGACGTCTGGAAAATATGCGTCGCGAAGCTGCCGAGGCACGAGCANTGATTGTACAGAAAGCCGTTCGACAATGGCTTGCAAAGCGACGTCTGGAAAATATGCGTCGCGAAGCTGCCGAGGCACGAGCAGCGAAAACCATTCAAAGCTACTGGACGCAGTGCCGCGCCCGTAAAATGCAGAAGGAATCGGAGAGGCAGTGCCAGGCGGCGATAACCATTCAAGCACGCTTCCGCGGTTACCTTGTGCGGCGGGAATGGAAAGAGTGGAAGAGTCAGATGGCGTGTGAGCGACAGCACCAAGTGTTGAAAGATGATGTGTACGATGAAGCCGCCACAGTGCTTCAGTCGTTCTGGCGCCGTATCGTGGCTGGGCGTATGGCGGACCGATTGCGGGGGCAACGGCAGGNGAAGCCGCCACAGTGCTTCAGTCGTTCTGGCGCCGTATCGTGGCTGGGCGTATGGCGGACCGATTGCGGGGGCAACGGCAGGAGAAGAAGGTACAGCAGGTGCTGGATGAGGCCGCCACCACAATTCAACGAGCATACCGACACCACCTATTGTACCGTGTCATTCAAGGCTCGTGATGTATTCTCTCAACTACGGTGTTTTTTTTTTTTTTTTTTTTTCCTTTTTTTGGTGGTTTTTTTGTTCGTTTTACTCCTTGGAGGTGGGAATAGACGAACTTTATTCCACACAATGTATGTGAGACTGCTGCGTTGCCAACGATCAGCAAGACTATGCAACAAAAAAAAAAGCACACTTATTAGATGTGTATGCGATGTGCTGTTGGGTGGGAAGGGGGGCCTCCAAGCAAGGAGCTCAGTTGTCTCCTCATTTTAATGTTTCTTTGCCATTGTTGTTGTTGTTGTTTGAGCCTCAGTTTTCAGGTGCTTTCTAATAAAAGCAAGACGTATGGCGGGTGTCGCGCCGCACCGGCGTTTTGTGTCTGTAGAACTGCCCTTCTGCCTCCCTGTGACGACGATGTCGTCTTCATCGCCGTTGCGGTGCGGGCTGGAGGAAACTGAGCGTCAGATGGTGGAAGCCTTTCTTCCCCCCTCGTTTCTCCGACCGTGTCTCGACGAGGTGGCGGCGGCGGCTGAGAAGGAAAGGGCTGAGACTACCACCGAGGACACCGCCGTTGGAAAAATGCAACACGAGCACACAGGGGGCATAGCGACACCATCGGAGTACTTTACAGGTGAAGTGTTTTCCGGTTGGCGCCCGCTTGACTTTGACCATGATGCCAGTGACACGCGGACGCGCGATGCCGCTACCAGCACCAGCCGCCTTACAAAGGCGGTGAGTGAGGAAGGGGACACGGAGCGAAAACGGATGTTGTGCGAATCGTTTCCTTCTTTCACACCCCAGGTGCTATTGCAGGGTTTCTACAGAAATGATATTCTTTTGGAGGTGACACAAAGAAAACGGATCAAGCGGCTGCGTGATCCTATAACGGGTGACATTGTGGAAGAAACACGCATGCCAGACGACATTGCTGGCAAACAGACTAAGGCAACTGTTGTGGGCATTGTGTCTCGCGAAGTGGATATAGTGAGGCCTGCGGATTTCTGTTTTTCACCATTCTCAAAAGACCAGGTGTCAGCTGCACCGGCACTCTGTAGCGTGAACCTTTTTCCCCCAGCACATTTTGTTGCAGAGAAGACCCCGTTCGAAGTGGAGTGCGAATTCAGTGGTCACTTGGCGGGAAAAAGGTCTCTCTCACGGGACGGCGCAGCATGCGGGGAGGGAGGCGAGCAACCGCTTCAATGGGAATTTGAGGCAATGCCAACCTTGTCGGTTATGGCAAATGATCCGAACATTCCACCGCCCATGCTCCCCACCCAGAAGGACTTACTTTGCCGCTTAAATGGCGGAGACGATGCGGATGACTGCGTGGAGGTGCGAACGGTGCGGAGCCTTTTGGAGGAACGCCCTGTTTGGATAGCGCAGGAACTTCTTGACGCCATTCTTCAGTCGGGGGTTTGCCCACGCACACACATCAACAAGAAGGCCATGTCTTGTCTAACGTATGTCATAAAAAATGGACCCTTCAATCGTCTTCGCGTTCGGCTTGGGTTTGACCCTTACGCGGACCACACGACAGCTTCACTGCAGCGTATTGCGGTAAAGATAAACCGTCGCTCTGAACTTGGCACGCTGCTGCGCGACATTAGCCGCGTACCGCGCATAGCGGATGTGATGAGAGAACTGGCGAAAGGGCATGTCGACGACGAACTGCCGCAGGCCCAGGCAAACGCAGAGAGCAAGGACGACAAGACTCCACTTCAGTATCGCCCGAGGGGTTCGTTTTTTGAGAAAATGGCGAAGGTTATTCAAGAAGGGCGGCTTTATGTGGCACTCCAAATCTTAGACTTGAGTGGGGACACGTTCTTCAAAGAGTTGCTCCTGAAAGTGCCCGCTGCGACGGCGATGCCCCTGGAGAACCGGTCGGGGCGAAACGGGTGGATCAGCGAGGGCGGCTATCATCTGGCGGCCGCTCGCATCACAGAGGCGATTTCGGGGATGATAAAGGACGAGGTCGCCCCGGCGCTCGAACGAAGCGGGGGAGGCGACAGTTTTGATCGACGGCGGCGGAGGGATGCCAGCCAGTCCCCTGACTCCCCCTCGGCCTCCGACGCGGAAGGCGGAGCCTCGCTCGAAAGCGCCCCGTCCGCCGCGGCCGTCTCCCCCACGGGCGTCGGGGAGGACCGCGGTTTTGAGTAGACCCAAGAGGAGGGGGGGAATGCTTTTTTTTTTTTCTTCAGGTTTCCGATAACGGGACGTTTGCCACCACCCCCGACTGCCCGGGCTGCGGCCAAACGCAAGAGGTTTTTCTTTCCCCTTTTTGACATTCCCGCCCCGCCCGGAGGCCAATCACACAGAACAAAAAAGAACAAAACTCAGAAAAAAAAGCTCCGGCTGCCGGCGCG